CCTCTCATATAGACTCAGAGAATTTGCATAGGCCTTCCTGAGAGAGGCTGCATGCATGAATCTGGGTTACATGACCATGGTAATTTTTTTCATGGCTCTCAGTCTGTATAATGATATCTTGTATATCTTGAATGCAGTAATAAACTCCCACATCTTATTTACCATGTTGCTATTTTAATAAAGAATAAGAATCTGAGTTAATAAAAATATTCAAATGTCTACCATCTTGTCATGGATATTGTGTAGCCACAGACACCCATTCATAGAATAAAAGATTCTTGTGATGGAACAGAAAACCTGAGTTCTGCTTATATTGTCTCAAGTTACTATGAATCTAAGAGTAACACTACCCAGGTCTTCATCCATAGTGCTGTCCATAGAAGAAGATGCTGTGTCTCATGATCTCAACACCATCAACTTCCAGCTCCATGATTCTTAAGCTGGGATAAAATAAATCAATATTGTTTTCAGCCAGCAGATTTATAGTCCATCTTTAATCACAGTCCACAGAATCTAATGAACCAGGATATACTGAAGAAACTTGATAAGTAACTAGAGATTATTGGGCTTTCACTATTATATATAATACAGCATGAAATTTTTGTGTTTTCCATCTCCATGATCTCCCCTTACACATTGTGTGAAGCACATGATTAACTGTAAAAGTCTTTTAGTTATGGAAATCTGTGTCTCCATGTGTCCAATCTCAGTGAACAGTAAAATGTAACATGAAAATGCAATCTGAGCTCACTGCAGCTGTAACAAGCAAAGTACAAAGTTTATCAGAGATCAACAACACTTGACAACTTGTTAGACACTGACTGGGGTAACTACTTATCTTTCACATTCTTGACTTTGAGATTGGGAACTTTCTTAACCTATGCATAGTTTGTCTCTATCTCATCATGGTGTGTTAGAAATGGACAGAGGAGTTTTGAATATGATTATCAGAAATAATTTAACTTTTATATATGAAAAATAGATGTATAAAATTGTATGTTTAATGAAAAAAAGAGAAGTTGCTTAAATGCATATTAAATTTTGAAGAATATTTAAGGCTTAATGTTAACATGTTAACATCAGATAAATACTTTGCTTTTTATATTTTAATGAGTTTTTTAATGAAGCATATTTTTGAGAGATTGTCTCCCAGGTCTAGAACTTTCTCTGTAGCCCATGTTAACTTTAAACTCAGGATCCTCCTGCTTATGCCTCTCCAGGTCTGGTATTACCAATGTGAAAATCCACTCATTGTCATATTTTATTTATTTATCTTTCTGTTTCTTTCACTTTATACATAATACAGTATTTATAATTTTATATATATACTTTCACAGTTCAATAATCTGAAATCCAGGCAGGTTCTGTGATTTCTGTTATTGCTATTAATTTTCACTCATACTCAATTTTTTATTTTTGGATGGCAACAATCTCAAATGTTGAGGTCTATTGGTCTCTGTAAAACTATTACTTGATTTAAGATGGCTGCAGCCATTTCTGGTAAGGTCTTTTTTCTTTCAGTATGTCAGCAAGGTCATCTTAACCCAGTTTTAATATTGCTAATTTCTAAATTATCATAGAATATGAATTCATAGAATAAATACTTTTGGCAGTGTTAGTGTTTCATGACTCCTTCTTTCTCTCATTCTACTTCCTTTCCCCCAATTTAGAGCCCTTTTTTTCTGTTTACTGAAATTAAAATGTAGGAAGGATATGTGTTAGTTTCTGTTGGGTTTACCATTGCTTTATAGTTAAAGTTCTTTTTTCTGTTAAAATCAATGTCCTCATGATTTTCACAGAGCAATTATTGGCTTCTATTGATATCTCTGTTTCACGTTTGGCCCAGAACCTGGATCCCAAATTTCTGCATCTCTGTTTGTTGTCTACAAGATTCTCACAATATGAACAAATGATATAAAATATTTTTGGTAACTCTAACCAAACAAGTGAAAGATCTGTATGACAAGAACTTTAAATCCTTAAAGAACTAAATAGAAGAAGATATCAGAAAATGGAAAGTTATTCCATGCTCATGGATAGGTAGGATTAATATAGTAATATCTTACCAAAAGCAATCTACAGATTTAATGCAATCCTCAACAAAATCCCCACACAATTCTTCACAGACGTCTAAAGAACAACTTTCAACATCATATTGAAAAACATAAACCCAGAATAACTAAAAATATGTGCAATAAGGAACTCCTAGAGACATCACCATCCCTGACTTCAAGCTTTAATGTAGAACTCTAGTAATGAAACAGCTTTATATAGGCATAACAACAAACACATGGATCAATGGAATCAAATAAAAAATCCTTAAATAAATCCACACAACTATGAAATCCTGATTTTTGACAAAGAAATCAAAACTGTACAATAGAAAAAAGAAAACATATTAGACAAATGATGCTGGCATATCTGGATGTCAATATGTAGAAGAATGCAAGTAGATCCATATCCATTGCCCTGTGAAAATTCAATTCCAAGTGGATCAAAGACCTCAAAATCAATCTAGTTACACTGAATTGGATAGAAGAGAAAGTGGAAAGTATCTTTGAATGCATTGTCACAGGAGACATTTTCCTGAATACAACAACAGTAACACAGACGCTGAGAGCAACAATTAATAAACTGGATTCCTGAAACTGAAAAGTTTCTGAAAGACAAATGACGTGGTGCATAAGACAACATGAAAGCCTACAACATGGGAAAAGATTTTCACAAACTCCACATCTCACAGAGGGCTGATCTCCAAAATATATAAATACTTCAAGAAACTATACATCAAAATACTGAATAATCCAATTAAAAATGGGGTAAAGACCTAAACACAGAACTTTCAACAGAAGAATCTCAAATGACTAAAAGACACTTAGGGAAATGTTCAACATCCTTAGCCATCAGGGAAATGCAAATCAAAACAACTCTGAGATACCATCTTATATGTTGGAGAGGACATGGAATAAGGGGAACACTCCTCCATTGCTGGTGGGAGTGCAAACTTGTACAGCCACTTTGGAACTCAGTATGGCAGTTTCTTACAAAACTAGGAATTAGTCTACCTCAAGACTCAGCAATACCACTCGTGAGCATATCCCCAAAAGATGATCAATCATACCAAAAGGATACTTGTTCAACTGTGTTCATAGCTGCATTATTTGTAATAACCAGAAATGGGAAACAACGTGATGACCCTTAACTGAAGAAAAGAAAAAGAAAATGTACATTTACTCATCTGTAAAACACAATGACATCATGAAAGTTGGGGCAAAGGAATGGAACTAGAAAAGAATCATCCTGAGTGAGGAACTGAGACCTAGAATGACAAACATGGTGTATACTCACTAATAAGTGGATATTAGATATAAAGCAAATGATAGACAGAGTAAAATTCAATGCCCCAGAGAAGCTAGGTAACAAGAGAACCCTCTGAAGGATACATGGTTCGCTCTGTGAATGGGAACTAGATGAGATCTCCTGATGTGTGATGTCCTTCTGTATATGTGTTGATGTGTAAAGCTGTTTTGACCAATGACTTAGTAGAGTAAAGCTAGGAGTGAAATCTGAAAATAGATAGTTCAGAGAGGTACCATGTAGTTGCTGAAGGAGAAAGTTGCCAGAATGTTGCTGGTAAGCCACAGTCTCATGGTGATACATAGATTAGTAGAAATGGGTTACTTTAAGATGAAAGAGCTAACTATGAATACACACAAGCCATTGACCAAACAGTGATGTAATTAATATAGTTTTTTGTGACAATTAAGGTCTGTGTGGCTGAAAAACAAAAGCACAGTCTCTGATTAAAATCTCCTGAGTAAACTGTTGCTGTGGTGTGGCAGAGGAGAGGGAATTTGGAGATGGGAACAATTGGGATCAGGATAGCATATTTAGGGGAGGGAATGAGAGGGAAAGAAATGAAAGAGATATTTCAATAGAGAGGGTCATTATGGAGTGATGGAGAAACCTGGTACCAGGGAAACTCCAAGAAACCCACAAGGATGACCCAAAAAAGACTCATAGCAATAGTGGAGAGGGTGCCTGAACTTATCTCCAGTAATCATATTTACTACCCCAACTGTCATCATAGAACCTTCATCCAGTAATGGATGGAGGCATATATAGAGATGCACAGCCAAGCACTGGGCTGAGCTATGGGAGTCCAGTCAAAGAGATGGAGGAGGCATCATATAAGCAAGTTGGGTCAAGATCATGGTGGGGAAATCCACAATACAGCTGGTGTGAGCTATTGGGAGCTCATGGACTCTAGACCGTCTCTTAGGGAGCCTGCATGGGACCAAACTAAGCCCTCTGTTTGTGGTGATAATTGTGTAGCTTGGTCTGATTATGGCCCCTAACAGTGGAACTAAAATCTGTTCCTGACACGTGAGCTGACATTTTGGAATCTATTCCCTATGCTTGGATGAATTACTCAGCCTTGATGAAGTGGGGAGTAGTTCAGTCCTTCTTTAACATGGTATACAATTCTTTGTTGATTTGCATGAGAGACTCATCCTTTCTGGGAAGTGCATTGGGGTGTAGAACGGAGGTGGGTGAGGGAACTAATGAGAGGACAGAGGGGAAACTGAGCTTGGTATGTAAAATAAATAAAAAATTAAATTAAAAAGTTGCTTTAGAGATGGGAGACAATGAAAATAATTAGGATCAATTCTCTCATTTTTTTGCCTTTCCTTTTCTTCCCTTCCATTCTTTCTATCTTTTATTGCACATTTTCTTACTCTGTGTTTTCTAATTTGTTGTTTCAATTTTTGAACATATCATTTCCCTAGGACTGTCAGACTGAGGTAGTTTTCCTAATGTTTCTGTAAAAGTCACCTGATTTAAATATTTCTTGGATTTTAACCAAAGCTTCTAATAGAGATCCTAGTAGATTTTTGTTGGAGAGCTGTGAGTCAAAATCTTTCAGTGATTTCTCATGCACTTTGTGGTAGTATATTTGCCTGTTGATCAACACTAACAACTCTAATACATACTTCTTAGGCATTTGCTTTTGTATTTCCTGACTGTTTTGCATGAGCCCCTCCAGCCCAACCCTACTGCTCAGAATTTATAAACCAGACTTTTACAGTGAGAAATGAGTTACATCAGACAGACAGGGGGAGCAAGATGGAGTCACAGACCCAGGTCCTCATGATATTGCTGTTCTGGGTATCTGGTAAGAAACTGAAATGTATTATATTCTTTTTAGAGCAACTTCTTCTTTGTATATAAGAAATAATCTACAATGTGTATCAAGGTTCAATGTTTTTTATGCAATAATACTCTGACAATATGACATTACAAGAACATTAAATAACAAATTTTAACTATATTAAATTCTCTGTTTTTTTTAATGTTGCATCATCATTGGTTTTCTTGATTGCAGGTGCCTGTGCAGATATTGTGATGACCCAGTCTTCATCTTCACTGGCTGTGTCAGCAGGAGAGAAGGTCACCATCAGCTGCAAGTCCAGTCAGAGTCTTTTATACAGTGGAAACCAGAAGAACTACCTGGCCTGGTACCAGCAGAAACCAGGGCAGTCTCCTAAACTACTGATCTACTGGGCATCCACTCGGCACACTGGGGTTCCTGATCGCTTCATAGGCAGTGGGTCCGGAACAGATTTCACTCTCACCATTAGCAGTGTTCAGGCTGAAGATGTGGCAGATTACTACTGTCAGCAGTATTACAGCTCTCCTCCCACAGTGCTTCAGCTTCCAACAAAAACCGCTTTTGAAAGTCTCAGCAGCTGTGTGCACCACATATAGACTTGGACCTTTGCACTTCCCCATTCTGCCTGAAAGCTGGTGGCTGAAACACTGGTAACAGGAGCTTGCAGAGTTCAGCAAAACTGATGAGTTCCATATCTTTTATGTCTTTTGGTATGAAAAAAAGTTTATATGATAATGCAAAGGAGAACTCAGCATTATCTTTCTATTCTTTCTGTAACACATAACCACAAACTCTGTTGCTTGAATATGAGGAATCTCTCTTTTAGAGTTCTGGGCTGAAGTGATGATGATGGAAAACTGTATTTTGGTTTGGAAGCTCTAGGAAAGTGTGCTTCCTGCTTTTTCTATATTTTGGAGTGCTTTCTTGCTTCTTTACTGGTGCTCACTTCTTCTGTTTTTTCTTTAATTTTCATTTGCATAAATTCTTTTTAACTCTTATTGTATTTTATTTAGTTTATTACCTCTATCTGTCTATATGTGTGTGCATGTTTCTAGCTGCATATGTGACATGTCATGTTTCCAGATCAGAGGACCCTTGGACTTTATTGCAGTTGTCATTTGTGTTCTGGGGACCAAACACAGGTTTCACATCAGGTTTATTGGCAGTTGACTTTGCTATCTGATCACCATCTTGCTTGCCCCTAAAATATTTTATTTGTATGAATTTATTGTACACAACTTTAATAATGCTTTCTTAGTATATTATACACTTTTTTGTTTTTATTAAGTTATACATTTTTTTCTCCACTCTCCTCCCTTTCTCCCATCTCACCTTGTATCCTCTCTCATGACCCCCATGCTCCCAATTTACCCAAGAGTTCTTGTCTTTTTCATCTCCTATGTAGATCCAAGTATGTTTCTCTTAGGGTCCTCTTAGTTGTCTAGTTTCTCTGGATTTGTGGCTGGTAGGCTGGTGTTTCTTTGATTAATGTCTAAAAGCCACTTATGAGTGAATACATATTATACTTGTCTTTCTGGGTCTGTGTTACCTCACTCAATATGGTTTTTTTATATTACATTCATTTGGATGTAAATTCAAGCAGTCATTACTTTTTGTCACTGAATATATACTCTATTGTATAAATATACCATATTTTCTTTATCTATTCTTCAGTTTAGGGACATCTAGGTTGTTTCCAGGTTCTATCTATTACAAATAATGCTGCTTGCTGCTATGAACATAGTTGAGCACATGTCCTTATGGTAAGATTGTCTTTTGGATATATACCCAATAGAAATATTGTGGGGTCTTGAAGTAGATCATTTCCTAATTTTTTGAGATATTGCCTTACTGAGTATATCATATACTTTGACTATTTTTTCTTCTTCACTTTCCTGTTATTTTTCTTCCCTAATCCTTCTTTTAATTTTATCTCTGTTTCTTCTATACATACAGACACACCCACACCTACCCACTAAGCACATAGGTATTTATGTACCCATATATGCAGCAATATGTATATATACATACATACACACACATTCACACACATATATTATATATGTAATTGAAAATAATAATTTTCAAGGACTAGAAATTTGCATTACATTGTTAAATGAGCTCTAAAGGACAATACCTTGAACAAGGTTAAAAATGTATGTACAGTATGTTTTAACAAAATTAAACTCAAATTTGTATCAATATACAAAATTTACATACAATTTATAAAAGTAAAACCAATATAAAATATTTAAAAGTAGTAGTTGCTTTTAAAAATCTGATTCAATAATATCCCTTTCCATGTTATCATATTTATATTTCCTTTTCAATTTTTCTTTCTTTCTTTTTCATTTGAGCCAAGGTTTCTTAGTAGTTAAGAAGTACATCCTGGAACTTGCTTTTTAAATAAGACTGACCTTGAACATATAGAGACTTGCCTATTTTGTTTCCAGAGTGCTGGGATTAAAGGCATGTGTCACCACCACCTGATCTTTTTCTTTTTTTCAAAACAAGAACCTTGAATCTAATTTTCTTTGTTTAGTTTTTTTCCTGACCATTATTCATATCAATTTGTAATCAACACATTAAAGAAAGACAAACATCGTAATCCATTTTGGGAGGGAATGTGGACATAGTTTTCTAGGTTACTTCCTGATGACAGGGGCACTGATAATCTTATGGGATTATTGTCAAGTCCTTACTTGAGCATTCAGGAATACTGCCTCATTTCAGCCAGCAGTCTAGAAGCTGTTCTAGAAGTAGAAGTCAGAGGAAACTGTATCAAATGTACTCTGAAATGCTGGATCATCGAAGTCTTCTATTCCCATTGGAGATTTTTCAGAGTGTCTTCTTCAATCATACTTTATTTTTCCTAAACCAAGAATGAATCCACAGCTACTCAAACTCTATTTTTCTTAACCAACAATGAATTCACAGACTCTCATTCCCCGTGGAAACAAAATAAAAAAACTCTTCTCTAAAGTAACATATCTTTTGACTTAAGTTTTGAATTCAAGGCATTTTGATCATACCTCATTTTTCTTAACCCGGAATGAATTCACAAGCCTCTTACACCCTATAGAAACAAAAGCAAGACCTCTTTTCCAAAGTAACATATCTTTTTAATTAAATTCTGAAGTGAAGACATTTTCAAAATATACAAATTGGATTAATCCAGCAACAATTATAATCAAAAGTTTTTAACAGCTGTTGCTCCTTCCTCAGCAATCAAACAATTCAAAAACAACACAATAACATACAGTATCCAGATTCTCTGTCTATTTTCCATTTTTACATGAAGGGGCAGATTGGAGCTTTGAGCACTAATTTTTCTCCTAAACCCAGCTGGTTAGATTTGGGTCTATCTCCTAGACCTGGAATTACAATTCCAACTTTGACCTGGGCGTGTCCCTAAAAAGTTTCAGACAAATGACATTTTTATGAATTCATACCCCAAAAAGTTGGGTGCCAAATGAGTATAATTAATAAAAACTCAGAGTCAGAAATTGGGGTTCAACCTGAATATATGAAAAGCAGAAAGTCAGTAACTGGCGCTTTCCTTGACCTTAGTTTGAAATGGTGATTCTGCCTCCCAGAATCTCAGAATGAGACTGTTTATCTGAGAATTATCTCCCCTCATCTTATATTCCTCTTTAGGACCAGAATTAAAGGCATGCACCACTGAGATTAAAGGTCCATGTCATTGTGCCTATTGGAATTCAAAATGTATGTCACTGTGACTACTGGGATTAAAGGTATGTGCTACGATAACCTGGTCTATAAGACTGACTAGTGGAACTATTTTACTCTCAGATATTCAGGCACTCTTTATTAAGATACATTTGAAATGCCACTACAGATTATCATGAATATTCCTCATTGACCTACTTTCATTAATCCAATGTCTGTCTTTGTCACATCTGCATAATGAGAAGAGAGGGGTGTTCTGTTTGGATTATTCTTAAAAGGAACATTATTTATAGGAATGACTTGTCTACAATCCCTTTGAAAGTGAACTTGTTTGTTACAATTATAACATTTGATATTTCAAATTTTCCTAAATCTCTGGAAATAACGTTTCCTATTCATGTATCATCATTTTCATGAGATTCTACAAAGGTCAGTCCAAAGGTGCTGACCTTGACTTTGACAGCCTAATTATCCTTTTGCATAAAAGAACTGTCATTTCCAATAGCCAGAGATTTGACTATTATTTGTCTAGTTTCCGAATTGGCTATCAATCTTTTTGCTACTGAAGTCAATCCTTCTAAGAAATTTGTAGGGGCTTCTTTTGGGTCCTGCATAAGTTTAGTAAGTGACTCAATTTTCTTTCTGATTTTCTCCAAATCTGTCCCAAGCATTCAAAGCTACTGCATGGCACAAATCCAGGCTATAGCTATATATAAAACCTGTCTTTCTATAGTAGCATAGTCTCTTTCCACAAGAATTTGCACTTGGGACATTTCTCTACCTTTAGCTTTACTCCATTGTTCAATAATCTTAGCCTCCTTTTTGAACCAGGTACTTCATTGTAATTGTAGACTAGTCTCTGAAGCACCATTAACCAAATCTTTTCAGTCATTATGGATAATTTATTACAGACTGATCATGAGTTTCACACTTGCTTTACAAAAGATGAATGCATACCATTGCATTGCTTGCTTGAATCTTTTTAAATCTAACAATGGCACATGAGTTCAGTTAGCTGTAACATAGCCTCTTCTATATGCCAATTTTTGTAAGGTTACTAGATGTGTTAAGGTTGGTTGTCTGAAAACCTTGGGCTGTTCCTCTCTATTCTTATAATGACTCCACATTAAATTCTTCTGTCTGTGTTTGAATTCTCTGTGATCTGTATTATTAGATTTTTCTAAGTCCTCAATCATGGCATTCAGTTTGATCAACATCTTTTTGTGATAAGACAAGAATCATAGTGCTGATAATGTTTACAATTGACATTACATAACTCCCATCTAAATTACATTTATGTCATTTAATCAATCCATTTTCAAACTGTCTAGCATAACATCATACAGAGACCCAAATCCCTCCATTAACTCTTTTAAATATTTCCTCCCTTTAAGAATTCTCAAATGCCTTACCATTAATATGTAAGGCTGATTGGTGCTGCACAGAACAGTAAAAGTCTGACTGAATTTCAAATGGATTTTAATGCAGCTACCTAGTTTGGCAGTATCCTGAGGAAGGGGCTCAGGGAGAGCCTGCAACACACAGTGGAGAAAGAGAGAGAGAGAGAGAGAGAGAGAGAGAGAGAGAGAGAGAGAATTAAAGAAAGCCTAACCAGGTGGGACTGGAGCTCTACATGCAGCTCTGGTGGAAGCCCCTTGTGCAGCCCCAACTTGTGTTGGTGGCTAAAAAGCATCAGTCAAATGGCTTTTTTCATAAATTCATACTCCAAACATTGAGTACCAAATGTACCCCCAAATAGAAAAAAAATCCAGAGACAGATATTGGGATTCAACGCAAAAACCAATAAAGCAAAATAGCCACATCACTAGAGAAGTCTTACTTCTACCAAGGCTAGGTAACCACAGACTAAGTAGACTAAGCTGACTAAGCCCAACTAGCTCAGTCAATACTTCATGAGACT